CTGATGAGCTTGAACTGCCGACCTTGCAGTTCAAATGGCTTTGCAGTCTGGCACATTAACCCCCAGCGCCACACCAGGACTCCCTAGGCTGTAAATCTTTACAGGTGCAGAAAGTCTCATCGTTCTCCTGTGGAACAGCTGGTAGTTTCGAACTGATGACCTTGAGGTTAGTAACCCTACTCATAACCACTACGCTACTATTTCAATTATTTGAGGAAAGAGCCAGATTAAAAATTTTAAAGTCTTAATTATAGACTTTAAAGACTTGAAAGTAATAAAAAATTAAGTAGTTACAAAGGGCGCTTAGTCATCATCATCATCAAGTGCCATCGAGTCAGTTCTGGGTATATTCACTGTTAGAACTATCCCTGAACTTAAACAGATATGGTACATTTCCCCCCAAAAAAGAACACACAGAGAGTTTTTAATATGTGCACTGATTACTCACAGAGATTTTTCTCTTTGGTATTTTAGGCATTTTCTCAGAGCATTGCTTTTGCTGTTATTAGGTGCTATCCAGTTGGTCCCTGCATAGGGTTTCTCAGGAGTGGCTGGTGGATTTGCACAGTTGACCTTGCAGAAAGCCGTCCCGTGCTGATCCTACAGTGCCCCACCAGGACTCCATTACTAGTTCTGTATGTTTATACAAATATTGGGTGCATTACAAGGATTTTGCAAACTGTGCAACCAGTCTCGTTAGTTTCCTATGAGTGCTATACAGTTATAAGCTTCCTTCCATGTGTTATCTACATCTGAGTTTTGTGGGGAAATACAGTAGTTTGTACTATTGGTGAGAAATTAAACCACTGCTGTTTAGTCCACTCTGACTCACAGTCACCCTCTAGGACCCAGGAGAACTGGTCCACAGGGTTTAAATCCTTATGAGATCAACAGCCTCACCTTTCTCCTGTGGAGCAGCTAGTGGGTTTGAACTGCTGATCTTGCAACTAGCAGTCCAATGCTTAACCCACTAAGCCTTCCTGTCAAAAAAAAGGATTGTCAAAATAATGATATCCGTTAGTTCAGTTCTATTCATTTCTGAGCAGAACAGAAATTACCAGATGCTGAATTAATGAGCAAATCATCATCTAGTCATCTAGTGTCTATGGGATAATGGGATATCTTAAAACCAGTTTGTAACTAAAAGGGAGACCTTATTTACCGAATAGCAACATCAACAAATAAAGTTTCAATTAAGATTGGAGTCATTCTGGTTAAAAAGACAGGTCAAAATGAATTCTTCCTCATCTTCTAAACTTAAAAAGACACAGAAATGCATATAAAATGAAATAATACAAAAGGGCAAGAGGTCACATAATTATAATATTTATGAATGCTGTATTTTGTGTATTACCCTATAATTTAATCCCCATAAGATTCCTATAAGGAAGTTAATACTATTACTTCCATTTTATACATGAGGGAATCTGAAGTTTAAAGAGGTTAAGTAACTCAAGCAAGGTAATACAGCTGGTTAATCGGTGAACTATTCAAATCCAGGTAGTCTGACTCTAGAGTCTTCATGCTTAACCATTATGCTGTTAGAATAAAGAGCCCTGGTGGCACCGTGGTTAAGCACCCGACTGTTAACTAAAAGGTTGGTGGTTTAAACCCACCAGTAACTCGGCAGGAGAAAGATGTGGCAGTCTGGTTTCTTTTAGTGGAATCCCTGAGACTGTGACCCTCTCAAGCCTGATACCGAATCCACACCCAGGAATCAACTTCCAACTGAACAATTGTTGTTAACTGCCATTGAGTCAGTTCCAATTCATAGCGACCCTGTTAGGGTTTCCGAGGAGCAGTTGCTGGGTTTGAACTGTTGACCTTGTGATTCCCAGTCCAGTGCTGACCCTACAGGAATCCATAGCCAGGCCTGTAAAGTGAATAATAAGACCAAGGAGTGATGTACTCCTTAGTAGTCAACCACACGAGATCAAAAGGGCAGCATTTGACCAAAAACAAAGATCACAAGCAAGAAAGAAAGACACAAAGAAATAGGAAGCCAAAGGAAGAAATGGGAAGAACTCTGTTACACTGAAGGGACCGCAGACAATGTCATGAAACAAAATATGCACAAATTGTTGAATGGAAAATGAACTTACTCTGTAAAATTTCACCCAAAGGATGGTAAAACTACAATAAAAAGTTGCATGTCCCAAGTAACCCTTTGATCTTAAGTGGGGACAATGATTAGCATCCACATGACTATTCTTAGCTCCTCTGTTGTATTTTACAATTTATATCAACAGTCATTGATTACTGTAACGTGTCCTACAGTGACCACACAGCTAACTTCCCTCTCTCTCGATCCCATTCAGCCAATACACTTTTCAGCTAAAACACTCTTGTATCTAATATCAAAACACAGGGAATCTGCCCTGGGAAATAGAGTGATCGCAACGGAAATCATGAAATGTGTCTCCAGGAAGCTCTAGGAAGATTCTCCCCAGATTGTCTCTTTTTCAGAGATGTTCCAGGCCTAGAGAAATAGAGCAAACTAAAGACAACTTTAGTTTGGAGGAGAATACTGAAAGTGCCATGGACTGCCAAAAGAACCAATAGATCTGTTTTGGAAGAAGTGCAGCCAGAGTGCTCCCTGGAGGCCAGGATGGCTAAGCTTCGTCTCTCCTACTTTGGACATATTGTCCGGAGGAAACAATCGTTGGAGAGGGATGTCATGCTGGGTAGAGTGGAGGGTCAGAGAAAAAGAGGAAGACCCCCAACGAGATGGATCAGCCAGGTGGCATCATTGATGGACTCAAGTGTGGCAGCGGTAGTGAAGTTGGCCCAGGATCGGACATTGTTTCGTTCTGCTGTGCATGGGGTCGCTATGAGTCGGTTCCGACTCGATGGCACCTAACAACAACAAAGACAACTTAATTGTTTCTGTAGTCAACATGAAATATACTTCATTGAGAAGAACTGATTGTTTCTAGATACCAAAAAAATCCCAAAACAAACCCACTGTGATTGAGCCCATTCAGAGTCACAGTGACCCTCTATAGGGTTTCTGAGGCTGAAAGTCTTTGTGGGAGCAGAAAGCCTCATCTTTCTCCTGTGAAGCAGTTTGTTGTTGTGTGCCATCAAGTTGGTTCAGACCCTGGATAGGGTTTCTAGAGCAGCTTGTAGTTTTGAACCGCTGACCTTGTGGCTCGCAGTCTTGTGCTTATCGGATAGTGATAGGAATATCCATTTAGGTTGTTGTTGTTAAGTGTCATAAAGTCGGTTCTGACCCCTAGCGACCCTGTATAGGGTTTTCGAGCAGTGACGGGTGAGCTTGAAACATTGATCTTGCAACTCAAACCAACTTTTCAGTCCAGCGCATTAACCCACAGGACAACAGTTGTTGTTGTTGTTAGGTGCCATTGAGTTGGTACCGACTCATAGCAACCCTATGCACAACAGAACGAAACACTGCCCGGTCCTGGGCCAAGCTCACAATTGTCGCCACGCTCGAGCCCATTGATGCTGCCACTTTGCCAATCCATCTGGCTGGGGGTCCAATCAGACCTGCTGAAAATCTGAGAATCCTGATAGAGTTACCATAAGCAGCAAATCATTTCCAACCTTAAGTCAAACACAGTTAAATGAGTTGTTACAGGGGAGAAAAGAGACCCGATCTTCAAAGATATAAATATCATACAGGCTCTTTATTAAGTCTTAAACAGTTGTTGTTGTTGTTGTTTAGGGCCATGGAGTCGGTTCTGACTCACAGCAAGCCTGTATAGGGTTTCCAAGGAATGGCTGCTGAGTTTGAATCGCAAACCTTGCAGTTCAAACAGACCTTGCAATTGAGTGCTTATCCTATAGAGCCACACCAGGACACATAAACAAGAGTAGACGTAAAATAAAAGACTTCTTTCCATATTTGAGCATGACTGCTGTATCAGTCATGGTTGTGGTGGGAGATTCCTATGTTCTCTGTGCCCTCTAAAAGGTCACTGGGGGGAGACAGAACTTTGGAACCTCATCATGGTGTCTATGATTTCCCTCACTGGGGATATGAACCATGTTCACACACTAAAAGACAGAGAGGGACTAGACAATTGCAGACAGGAAAGTGTACAGTCTTTGGCACTCCAGGTATGACATTGCAACCAGGTGACCAGGGATGTATCTAGGAATGTTTCTGGGAGGGCTTGCTAGGAGAAATTGCTCCAAACCCACTTTTAAACATACTCTGCTTCTGTCTCTCAAAGTTCAGCTGTCAGAGGTACATGAGGTACTAAAGAAAAATTGGCATCTGACCACTTAAATTTAGGCACACGGTGGAATTAAGCAGGGCCTGGATTAAATCATTTGTAAGCAAAAAGTCTTCAGCTTTCATGCTCTAGAGAAGAGTTAAAAGTGGTTATGTGTGGAAGCATTTTCGAACCATGAAAAAGAATCAAACAACAAAATGTTTTGATCATTTCAGAATTCTGAAATCTGACGTCATGGATTACCAATTTCCGGAATATAATATTTTTAAATGGTGCCTCAGTGCAAGATGTTTTTTTCTGAAGTAAAGGTTCTGGGTGAGGTGATACACAGTGTAAGGTTTTGGAGTCTTACCAGGGCAGACTGGTAGTGCTGTGGAGTGCAACTTTCAGGGTATGGCACGGTGAGTGTGTGTGCGTGTGTGTGTGTGTGTGTGTGTGTGTGTGTGTGTGTGTGTGGCGGTTATAGTTGGGTCTTTGGGCAAGGTATTGTTATTAAGTGTCATTCAGTTGGTCCGACGCTTAGGGACCCTATTGTATAGGGTTTCAGAGGAGTGGTTGGTGAGTTTGAACCACCAACCTTGAGGTCAAGGGTTTATCTTACAGCGCCACGCCAGAACTTAACACAAAGGCAAGGTTTAAGTGGGTCTATCTGGCAATTCTCTGAGGGGTTGAGCCTTCGATTATTGGAAGCAGTTTGGGAGCGGCGCCCCAAATGTGTGGGCGCGAGTAAAGCGGCACTTTTGGGCCTTACTCAGAAGTGTCTTAGCTGGGCAACGCCACGAAAGGCCCGTTTCCCACCTGGATTAAGATGGATCCAATAGGATCGTAGTTTTCTGTCTTCTGTGCCATGGTTAGGGGCGGGGAGGATAACCTCCCCCGGGGAAGCGCCATTTACAGGCGCGGAAACTTTCCACTTGGGGTGTTTGTCTCCATGGCAACACTATGCGCTGCCCGGCCTATTCTACAATGAGAGCGGAAGAGGGGAGTAAGGAAGTAGTTGGCGCAGCCGTTCCGTTCCGAGATCGTGACCTTCCTTGCAAGACTCCCCCGCGCGGCGGCGGTTGTGGTGCAGGCCAAGGCGGAAGCGACTCTCAGACGAAACCGGCTCCAGAACGCAGTGATGGCTGCTAGCGTCCCTTGTGCGCTGGTTACCAGCTGCTCCTCCACTTTCACCGGGGACCGTCTGGTTCAACGTGAGTAGAGGGTGGGCGGGTCTCCAAGCCTAGCGAGCCTCGGCGGACGACAGTCTCAGTATCAGGCCTGTACCTCGGCCTTGTTCCCGTCGCTGGCCCTGGGCTCTTCCTCCACTCGGCGGTGGCCTGAGGCTCCCCGGGTTCCTTTCCTACTCTGTCGAGACCTTTACCTACTCCCGCAGGTGTCTGCCCTGTAACTCTTAAACTCATTGCTTTTCTGCCTGCCCGGCTCACGAATGCGTTACTTCAGTTTCTTCTATAAAGTGGGACTGATTCCTGCCCAGCCTACCCCACGGGTTAATGCAAAGAGCCATTGAGATGATGAGGGGAAGGGATTATTGATAAATTATGAGACAGTTGTGATATGGCTGTTTCTGCTCCTGAGGTGAGGAGTACATTTCCTCTGATTTCCGTGTTTGCGGAAGAAAGTGAAGGTTGTCTTCTCCCATAAAGAGTTAACAGCTTTGGAAATCTTTTGGGGGGAGTTGTACTATATCGTTTAGGGTCGCTATGAATCGGAATCCTGGTGTGGCTCTGTGGGATAAGCACTCGACCGCAAGGTTGATGGTTCAGACTCAAACAGCCACTCCTCGAGAACCCAGTACTGGGTCGCTGTGGGTTGGAACCATCTCAAGGGCACTTAACAACAACATAAATTGGAATCAACTCGATGGCAGTGTTTTTTTTCTTGGGGTGGTGGTGATGGTGGTGGTTCCTGTGTCTTCAAATACTAGACTAAACCTTAATGAATGTACATAAGACTTGTTTATTATGTTGTTGTGAAGTGCCGTTGAGTCGATTCTGACCCATAGCGACCCTGCGCTGATGCGCTTGAACCACCAACCTTGCAGTTCAAACGACTTTTCAGTCTAATGCATTAGAGCACAGCGCCACACCAGGACTCCTGTTTATATAGTACCTTTTATTTGTTTATTTTAAAAAGTTTTTATTGTGAATTGAGTGATCGTTTACATGGGGGAACATCAGTTCGTTTCATTGCAAAGATTACAATCCCCTTTATGCTTCATCATTCAACAGTATTTGCTTCTATTTACTGTTTTTTTTGGATGTGAACCAAACCACTCAGGAATATAGTATCATTCAAACAGCCAAAGGGCACACCCTGCTGCCCTCCACCAGCACACATACCCTCTCTATGAGTCTAGAATCCTCAGCTGCCCTGTCTCTCCATGGCATCGTCTCTGCCACCATCTCCAGCGTTTCCACTTCTCTGAGTATTTTTTATTTTGTGGTAGTCATTGCTTTGCCTTCTGAAGCAGAGGTTCTCCACTAATATTAGTTTTGGAGTATTACTGAGTTTAGTTCCTTTGACTCTGGACTGTCATTTGATTGTCAGATTAAGTAATTCTCAAATTAAGTAACCCTTAAACCCTGGTGTGGCATCATAGGATGAGCACTCAACCTTAAGGTCAGTTTTGAACATTAAGGTCTGTAGTTCAAACTCACCAGCTGCTCCTGGGAAGCCATTTACAGGGTCACTATGAGTTGGAACTGACTTGATGACACTTCTAACAACAACAACAATGAAACTTAAGTGGGTGTCTTCCTCTTTTTCTCTGACCAAACATGATGTCCTCCTCCAGCGACTGGTCTCTCCTGACAATATGTGTCCGAAGTATGAGAAATGAAGTTTGGCCATCCTGGCCTCCAAGGAGCACTCTGGTTGCACTTCTTTCAACACAGATCTGTTGGTTCTTTTGGTAGTTCATGACACTTTCAATATTCTCCTCCAACACCATAACTCAGATTCATCACTTCTTCTATGGTCTTTCTTATTTACTGTCCAGCTTTTGCATGCATATGAGGTTGGGCCAGGCACACCTTAATCTTCAAACTGACATCTTTGCTCTTTAACACTTTAAAAAGGTCTTGTGCAGCAGATTTGCCTAATGCAGTATGTCGTTTGATTTCTTGACTGCTGCTTCCATGAGTGTTGATAGTTGATCCAAGAAGAATGAAGTCCTAGATAACTTCAGTCTTTTCTCCATTGATAAGAATGTTGTTTATTGGTCCAGTGGTGAGATTTTTGTTTTCTTTACATTGATATGCAATCCATACCGAAGGCTGTGCTCTTTGATCTTCATCAGTAAATGTTTTAAGTCCTCTTCACTTTCAGCAAGCAAAGTTGTATCATCTGCATATCGCAGGTTGTTAATCAGTCTTCCTCCAATCCTGATGCCACATTTTTCCTCATAGAACCCGGCTTCTCGGATTATTTGCTCAGCATACAGGTTGAATAAGTATGGTAAGAGAATACACCCCTGTTGCACACCATTCTTAATTTTAAACCATTCAGTTTTCCCATGTTCTGTTTGAACAGCTGCCTCTTGGCCCATGTACAGATTCCTCATGAACACAGTTAAGTGTTCTGGAGTACTCACTTCGCAATGTTGTCCATAGCTTATCATGATCCACACCATCTAAAGCCTTTGCATAGTCAATAAAGCACAGGTAAACATCTTTCTGATATTCTCTGCTTTCAGCCAAGATCCATCAGAATCAGCAATGATATCCCTTGTTCCACGTCTTCTTCTGAATTCAGCTTGAACCTCTAGAAGTTCTCTGTCAATGTATGCTTGCAGCCTTTTCTGTATTATGTTTAGTAACTTTACTCGCATGGGATATTAAAGAGATTGTTCGATTGACCAGCAGGGTTACCCATGGTGGACAGGTTTCAGATGAGCTTCCAGATGAAGACAGACTAGGAAGAAGGAGTGACGAACTACTTCCAAATACTTAGTCACTGAAAACCTTATGAATAGCGGAGAAACACTGTCAGATATAGTGCCGGCAAATGAGCTCCTCATGTTGGAAGGCACTCAAAATGTCAAAATGCGACTGGGGAAGAGCTGCCTCAAAGTTGAGTTGACCCTGATGACATGAATGGAGTAAAGCCTGTGGGAGAAAAGCCCGCAGGACCTTCATTTGCTGATGGGGCACCACTCAAAATGAAAAGAAGCAGCAGTAAACATCCTTTGAAAATCAGAACATGGAATGTATGAAGTATGAATCTGGGAAAATTAGAGGTTGTCAGATATGAAATGGAATGCATAAACATCGATATCTTGGCATTAGTGAGCAGAAATGGACTGGTATTGGCCATTTTGAATCTGACAACCACATAGTTTACTATGCCAGAAATGACAAATTGAGGAGGAATGGTGTTGCATTCATTGTCAAAAAGAACATATCCAGATCAGTCATGAGGTACAACACTGACAGGGAAGCCCAGTTAATACCACTATTACACAAATTTATGCACCAACCACTAAAGCCAGTGAGGATGAAATAGAAGAATTCTACCAACTTCTTCAATCTGAAATTAATCAAATTATGCAATCAAGATATATTGATCGTTACCGTTGATTGGAATGCCAAGGTCGGGAGCAAAGAGGAAGGATTGGTAGTTGGAAAATATGGCCTTGGTGATAGAAATGATGCTGGAGATTGCATGATAGAATTCTGCAAAATCAATGATTTGTTCATTTCAAATACCTTCTTTAGACAGCAGAAGAGAAGACTGTACACATGGACCTCACCGGATGGAATACATGGAAATCAAATTGACTACATCTGCAGAAAGCAATGATGGAAAAGCTCCATATCATCAGTCTAAACAGTGCATATTTGTAGACTTTCATTATGGATAAAATGCAGGTGTGTACTTTGAGAGACTTTTTATTTCCTATTGCTACTTAAAGGCCTTATTTGCAGTATTCTTGGTGGGTACCTGCCTTCAGAAGAGTCGTTACTGGTTTCCAGTGTAGACTTTTAAGGGAAAAGAAGGTTCAGGAGTTTGAAAGACTTTTGCAAGGCTATTTATAGCATGAAAACAAGACTCTATACCTCAATCCAAGAAATCTTTCCACCTTTAATAAGGGGACTTCAAAAAGTTTGTAGAAAAATAGAATTAAGGGATAATGGAATTCTTCCATGAACTTTTGAGAGATGTATATGGTGATGGGGGTTGTGTGCCACGGAGTTGGTTCTGTCTGACTCAGAGAACCCTGCATAGGGTTTCCGAGGCTGTAAATCTTTATGGGAGCAGAAAGCCTTATCTTTCTCTCATGGAACCGCTGGTAGTTTCGAACTGCTGACCTTGAGATTAGCAGCCCGACTGGTAACCAGTATATTTACAAAACCTTTTATTGTGGTTTGGGTCAAAGTTAACAATGCACATTAGTTTCACATTCAGCAACTCATACACATTTCGTAATGTGACATTAGTTGTTTCCCCTCTATATCACAACACTCCTCCCATTTCCTTCCTAGGTTCCCAATTTCTATGTGTCTTTCCTGTCCTTTCCTGCTTTCTGAGCTTTGTTTTTGGGCAGATGCAGGTCTTTTGGTCTCATTAGCTGATTGTTCTAATGCAAACTATCCTCATTAGTGTCATTGTGCAGTGGTGTCAGTTCTGATTTGTAGGGACCCCCATTGAGGATTTTCAAATCTTTATAGGAGCAGAAAGCTTCATCTTTCTCCTGAGGAGAACTTGAACTGCTGACCTTGTACGTCCAGGGCTCCTTGTTCACTGTGTAGGCCTGTCTGTTGTTTGGCTGAAAGGTGGTGGGACTCAGTTTCAGGTTGCAGGGTTTCTAAGGCCACAGTCTCAGGGCTTCCAACAGTCTTCATCAGCCCAGTAAGTCTGGCCGCTTCTATGATTTTGAATTTTGTTTCATGGTTTT